TTATATTCTATTCAGACACTGAATTCCCTTTAACTTTGATAAAAGGAAAAAGAAAAAAAACATAGCTAGGAAAATGAACCATCAAAAATGCAAAGGTTTTCTGTGTACACACACACACACACACACACACGTATCTCCAGGACCAGTTGCCATCCAGTTGACTTTGACTTGTGGGGACTCCGTGTGTGTCAGAGTAGAACTGTACTCCATGGGGGTTTTGTTGTTGTTGTTTGCCGTCGAGTCGGCCCCGACTCATAGCAACCCCTCCTTGGGTTTCCGAGGCAGTATCACTACGGAAGTAGGATTGCCCAACCTTCCTTCCGAGGAGTGGCTGGTGGGTTTGAACCGCCAGCCATGGAGTTTTAGTGGCTGATTTTTCAACAGTAGATTGCGAGGCCTTTTTTCTGAGGCATCTCTGGTTGGACTTGAACCTCCAAAACTTTTGATTAGCAGCCAAGCCCGTTAACTGTTTGAGCCAACCAGGAACTGCTCTCTGTGTGTGTGTGTGTGTGCATAAACATAATGCGTTTATTTGAAAAAATGGAAAATCCAGCTTTTGCAGAGCTTTTTCTAGTACATTGATTAACTAGTGCTTGTAGGTGAATTAGTATTTACAATTAAGGCAAAGTATATTAGAAAGGGAATTTGTAGGCCTTTTCGCCATAGCAGAGTTTGAGCACTAAGAATGAAGTGATTGAACTGAAACAGTGAAGGAGTTTGTATGAACATTTGGGAACCAGAATAATTGTGTGTGTGTGAGGGGGGACTAGATATGATGGTTACGTTGGGAGGACCTTTTGTTACACTGATTCAAGGCATACTTAGCTGTTGACTGTATAGAAGATGGCATGCCATTATGTGGATGAAAGGGAGGAGGAAATCCTGATAAATGTCCTTGTGGTGGTTAGAGAAGGGAGAGAAATTGCCAGTAGGTGGTAGGGTGGTGTCCAGAGACTAGAGAAGGTTACATATTAGATGTGACATTAGTATTGGGCCCAGAAAAATTTCCACAGGTGGGTCCAGGTGTGTGCAGAAGGCATTCTAGATAGAGAGAATACTATAAACATGCATGTCAAGGAGAAGGCAGCTTGAATTAGTAGATAGGCAAGTAAGTAATGGTATATAGGGTTTGAAATGATTTTAGTTCCTAGCTAAGGAATTTGGAGGAGGTTTGGTGTCACAGTGGTTAAGGCTCAGCTGATCAAAAGATCAGTGGTTTGAACCCACCAGCAGTCTGCTTCCATAAAGATTTATGGCCCTGGAAACCCCATGGGACATTTCTACTCTGTCTTCTAGGATAGCCAGAGCTACCTTCTTTCAAAACCTTTCCTACCAGTACCACTGAAGACTTCCCTGTGTTGTTTCTCTGATGCTGTCATGCTGCCAGGGCATTGTCTCCATTGAGCCTTGCTGCAGCTGGCATGCCTGTGTTTGCCTGCAGAGAGGATCTTCCTCTCCTCCACTGTGCTCCCAGCTCTCTTACTAATACCACAAGCATTCTAGACCGGGAAGGATCTTCCTTAACATGACTTAGTATGAAGTGCCTAGGACATTTGACTGCTAACCAGAAGGCTTGTGGTTCAAACCCAACAGCCACTCTGCAGAAGGAATAGTAGGCAATCTACTTCTGTACAGATACCCACTGCTGTCGAGTGAGATCCGACTCATAGCGACCCCTCCTTGGATTTCCAAGGCAGTATCACTATGGAAGTAGATTATCCAGTCTTCCTTTTGAGGAGTGGCTGGTGGGATACTGTCTCAGAAATCCAAGGAGGGGTTGCTGTGAGTTGGATTCAACTTGATGACAGTGAGTTTTTGGTATAATGTGTTTATTTGTATTTTCCAGGTACTGTGGTGGGTTGTCTCATACCTGTTTTTGTACTACTGGTTTAACTGTGGGACCTTGACCAAGCCTATAGTGTGGCATCTTTCAAATGGTAAAGTGGGCTGCATGATCTCAAACACTGTGTCCCATTGGGCCTTCTGTCCTTGGGGTTAGGCATTAACAAAATGAAATTGTGGCTCTGGGATCTTGGGTACTAGGGAGAGCATTGGCAAAAGGACTGGTCATTATTTTCACTCCTGACCCATGACGCTACTCCCAATAGCATTCATGTTCATGAACTTGGTAATAATATGGCTTCATAGAGCATAAGCACTGCTCAACATCAGTAAAGTACAGATGTGGCCACATCCTCTGAGTTGCCTGAATCTAGAACTGCTCCACTCTCAGAGCAGCCGCCTCAATATCTTTACACGTATTTTCTTCCTTTCCCTATGATTTTTTATCCGTTTCTGTTCTCTCTTTATCACCTAAAACTGGGCCCCCATCCCAGACCAATTAAACCAGCATTTGTAGGGGTGGGCCCTAAGGCACTGGTGTTTGCTAAAAGCTTGCCTTGTGATTCTTTTTTGTTCTCAGGACTGAGAACCACAGTCTAAGTTTAAAGGAGGCTTATCTTCCCACTATTCTTCCCTAAAACAAAACAAACGAACAAAAACAGTTGCTGTTGAGTTGATTACAACTCATGGCACCCCCACCCATGTGTGTAGAACTGTGCTCCATATGGCTTCCGATGGCTGATTTTTTTGGAAGTAGATTCCCAGGCCTTTCTTCCATTTCCCGTTGAACTCCTCTCATTGGTAATCCTTAAGCCTGAGAGGTATCTGTGAATCCTAAAGAGTACACTGCTAATGGCCATTTGCTATTTGTTTTCAGTTTTTAATGAAAATTTTATTTATGTGCATCTTGTATTTTTTAATTCTGATTCACTCTAGACTGTCTTGTCCGAGAACTCTGAATCTGATTGACAGGACCACTTAGTGTCAGTTCCATTACATACAGTTGAAGCACAGGATTAAGAGGATGGTATTTATGGATTCCCAGAAGACACTCAGACAGTAGGGTAGTATGCTTAGTAATTCTGCAAGGTAGTATGTTCAGCAGTTTTATAAAGGTACATGTTTACATATAGATTCAAGCACACATAAAGGAGGTAACATTGGAAAGAATATATCAAAGTACTTAATGATGATTCCAGGATGGTGGAATTACAGATGGTTTTTATTTTCTTTAAATATCTGTATTATAAATTTTCTATAATGAGCATGCTTTTCTTCTATATTTTAAGAAAATTTCAAAAAGAAAATATGCCCTAGACAAAGTAGGGGTGGGTGCATGTGTGTGCTATTTTTAGATGTTGAGACATATCTTTTTTGTGAGGATATTGAGAATAGTACCATACTGAGAATGAGTTAATAGCAAAGCTCAGTATACAAAAGCTAGGATTTAGATCCTTGTTATTTTTGTTTTTGCTTATTATAGCTAAGCTAAATGCATCTCGCCTGTATGGTTGGAATTTTGTTTTGTTGATCCAAGTGAGTGTCATGAGATTATTAGTCCATAACAGGGGCACAAAGAGATGATATATTGAAGGTTTACTCTCTCCTCTTTAATGCCAGTGGGTTAATTTTTATGACATTATCTTGTTATCAGTGGCACTTTTTTTGGGGGGGCATTGAACTGGAAACAGAATGCTGACCTAGTATCTGCTCATCTTTTTTGCATTGATTTATTACTGGAGTTTAACACATGCATTTGAATTTTAAATAAGACACAGAGTAAGTGGTTTAAATGAAAACTTAATAGTAGTTATCTCTGGATAAGTTGTCGAGTAATTTTAACAATACTTTTAAAAATAAAACATAAACACCTCAATTACTAACAGATGTTTAGTTTCTGCTCTTACTTTTGTCAAAATAGATTTCTTTAAAAATAAGAAGACAGGAGAACCTATTGCTGAGGGAACGGGAAGACAGCACTGTGTGGTGGTGTGTCAGTAGGATGGTTTCTTTTGAAATGCTGTTTCACTCATACTGATCCTTGGGGAAATTTGGCTGTGAGCGTGCAATTATTATATTTCTATCCACGGAATGGGCTAAAGTTGGCATCACATCCCTCATGGTTGCCAGAGGCAACATGCTGATTTAATTTGTGCCCCTGTGGCAGACATTTTGAATCATTTTAGTGATTTTTTTTTTAATGCTACCTTTTCCCTTTCTTTTCTAGTCTCCTGCCTTTTATGGCTCACCTCCCTTTTTGATTGAGTTCTGAGGCCACCAATGTTGGCTGACAGTAGAGGGGTGCTGTGCTTGTGCCCCTGTTGCCTCCTGGGGGGAGCACAGGTCAGAATGCTGCTCTCATGGTCCAGCCCTTGGCATATGTCACTACTCTTTCAGATTGATAAAAAGAACAGATCTTAATTAGGCAGGTTTGAAACCCAATTTGAAGCCTGAAAATCATACCCCAAGAGAGCTGCATTTGGGGGATTTTGAAATTTTTTTGCATAGCACTGAGATTTCTTGAAATGCTCACCTCTGCTGTTCTATGTTCTGCTTATGCCTTTAATATTTTTGTTATAGTAACTATTGTTTAACATGGAGGATCACCAGATGGCCCCAGTTTGAGTGGGCGTGTTTTCTGCTAGATTGAGGGCCACAGAAGGACAAGGGAGGAGCTGGCCAGTATTCCACGTGGCTGATGTGGGACAGGACTTGTTATACCAGTGAGCACTGCTAAGGGCTCTGGGATAGGGAAACTTTTCTGAACAGTGCTTGCATATGCAAGAAGTATTTTCATGTAAAAGATACTTGTTTTGTAATAAGTACATCCTCAAGATAATCAGGAAAATATAAAAACAAAGATTCAGTTGCCATCAAATTGATTCTGGCTCATGGTGATCCCATGTGTGTCAGGGTAGATCTGTGCTCCAAGGGGTTTTCAGTGGCTGATTTTTTTGAAGGTAGATTACCAGACTTTCTTCTAAGGTGCTTCTGGGTAACCTCAGACCTCCAGCCTTTCAGCAGCCAAGTGTGTTGAGCCATTTCTGACATCAGTGACTCCTAGAGAATCAGAGGGGGAGAAAAAGTATAACCCAAGTTGTAACACAGTAACCACACTGTATCCAGAAATTCTGATCATCTTTTTGTTTTAAATGCAGAGTGGACACAAATCTCTACCAGGTATCTTCGAGAGCAGTTGGCCAAGATTTCTGACTTTTACCACATGGCCTCCAGTACAAGCGACAGCCTTGTGCCTGTGCCACCGGAGGTGGAGCAAGCTATGAAGCAGTGGGAGTACAATGAAAAGCTGGCCTTTCACATGTTCCAGGTAAACTTTCTAAAAGACTAAGACTGTGTAGAATGCTTTTAAAAAGAGAGAAAATTCTTTTTGTAGTTCAGTTTTCTGGGAATTGAGTTGTATTATTATATGAACCAGTATATGCAAAGAAAGCAGTCTGACATTTCTCACCTTGACTTGTATGGAAGAAAAGACATTTGCCTTGAATTAACAACTGCTTTATTGTACACATGGATCTACAGCTTTCAATGACATCAGCCTTTTGAAAGCTATTAATTACTTTGTAATTGCTCTATTAAATATAATCCTTGTAGCCCTTGTATTTTGCAAAATTAGATGTATTTATTCAGAAATACCTTTGTGTTGATTCCTCCTGTCTCATAGCACATGTTGTTTAGAGCTTAGTTATTCCAAAGAAAGGTCATCTTAATTTGGTTTGGCTGAAGATTTAAGTGCAAATAGAACTAGGGAAGGGGTAGGAGTGTTGAGGAAGGAATCACTAAGCTCTCATCTAGACAAGCTGATGGAAATCATCTTGACCAGAAGAGGGCGCTTGTGCTGCTATTTGCCTCAATTACTAGCATAGACTTTCAGTACTTGTTAGCATGAACGAAGAGGAGGAGAGGCAGAATGGACGTGTGATTTCTAAATTTTCTCTTTAGGCCCTAATGATAATTTGTGAAGAAGCTCCAACTAGAAAAAAACATAGTTCTTTTGGGAAGACCACAGTTTTTAGGTCAATAAAAAAACTCCTACCAACCCTGGTTCCATTTAGCAGAGGATGGTTTTGTGTCTGCACTGAGCTTTTATGACTTTTACTGAGCTGAGGCTTTAATATGCATCTTTGAAAAAGTGTATTTTCTTTAGTACCAGCATGCTTAATATTTTTGGAAGTATATATATGTGTGTGTGTATGTGTGTGTGTGTATGAACACTGAAATCTGTATCTGTTATAGTACACAGGTTCTAAAGTTATAAATCTAATTTGAAAATTAATGTTAATCTTCAAAAATTTATTATTTTAATTTTCCAATTAGATTTAGGAGCTCTGGTAGCATAGTGCCTAAGGCACTTGACTGCTCACCAGAAGGCTGGCGGTTCAAACCCACCAGCCACTCCTCAGAAGGCAGGTTGGGCAATCCTACTTCCGTAGTGATACTGCCTCGGAAACCCAAGGAGGGGTCGCTATGAGTCGGGGCCGACTCGACGGCAAACAACAACAACAACAACAACAATTAGATTTGTTTGAAAATAAAACTGACCCTGGTATAAACACATGCAGTAACATGGACATGGTTGCATAAACAAAAATATGTTTAGGATAGACTAGTAGGTAGTCATTGGAAATCATATTTATGAAGATTCTTTGATATGTGAATCATAATACACAACTATATATGATACTGTGATACACTGTCTACACAACTTTGCTTGCTGAAAGTGAGGATGACAAAGCACTTATGGGTGAATATTGAAGACTATAGTCTGCAGTATGAATTACACCTCAATATAAAGAAAACAGAAATCCTCAACACTGGATCAGCAAGCAACATCATGACAAATGGAGAAAAGATTGAAGTCATCAAAAGACTTCGTATTACTTGGTTCTACAATCAACACTAATGGAAGCAGGAGTCAAGATATCAGATGATGTATAGCATTGGGCAGATTTGCAGCAAAAGACCTCTTTCAAGTGCTGAAGAGCAAAGATGTCTCCTTGAAGATTCAGGTGTGTCTAACCCAAGCCATGGTATATTCACTTGCCTCATATGCATTTGAGAGCTGGACAATGAATAAAGAAGACCGAAGAGGAGTTGATGCTTTTGATTTGTGGTGTTGGTGCAGAATGCTGAAAGCACCATGGACTGCAAAAAGAAATAACAGATCTGTCCTGGAAGAAGTGCAGCTGGAATGCTCCTTGGCAGCGAGAATGGCCAGACCTACTTTGGTCATGTTGTAAGAAGGGACCATTCCCTGGAGAAGGATATCATGCTTGGTAAAGTGGGAATCAATGAAAAAGAGGAAAGCCCTCAACAGGATGGATTGACACAGTGGCAACAATGATGGGCTCAGGTATAGCAAGGATCTTGGGGCTGGCACAGGACCAGGCAGTGTTTCATTCTGCTGTATGTAGGGTCACTATGAGTCAGAGATGGCTCGATGACACGTAGCAACAACAACATATGATATCAAATAGGTATATGCCTAAGATATCATCAAAGAGTATTTATATGTATGTATACATGAATATGAAGGCAATAGACTGAAAATGTTTTTAGTGCTTATACAAGATTAGTGGTCTCAGCAGGGCTTATACCATTTTTATGGGATATTTTGGAAATTTGTGTGTAGATGGGATGGATATTGGTTTTTAGTTAGTCATGCTGGAATATTTATATGTTATTTTAACATAAATTCATTTTTTTTTCTTTATATTGCAGTTAGGTCATTATATTGATTTTTAAAGGTATATTTTACAGGTAAGCTATAGAATCTCTGATTCACTTTAGAATAGTGAAAAGGGTTATTTATTAAAGGGGACACTTGGTTTGATGGAATTTTCATCAGCTTGTTAAGATGATGATATGATGGGCTTGTTTGTTCTTTATAATTACCATTCTTGGCTAAGTTTCCTTCCAGGAGCTTGAACTCACATTTCTCTGAAATCTGTCCAAGGGCTGGGAGTGTGAAGGCATCTGAATTTCCTTTCTTATGGGAATTGATTTTTTTTTCTTTCAATCTAGAACAAAGTGTATTACCAAACCAAACAAAGAAAAACCAGTAGTCCTTAGTTTCATTTAGATTTTATCCTCTGATCAGTGAGAACAACACCACCACCACCACTCATAACCACATGTAGTTATAACAGTACTCTTTGTAGAATTGTAGTTGCTTTTGTTTTAACATAATTAATGTACATATGTATTTTTTCTTTTTTGTTCATTTAAGGAAGGAATGCTAGAAAAACATGAATACTTGACATGGATCCTAGATGTTTTAGAAAAAATTAAACCAATGGATGATGATCTTCTTAAACTCTTGTTACCACTAATGCTGCAGGTATGGTACATGTCATTTTGAGCCAGTGATTTATAGGCAATAAATGAGTCTGGTGAGGATAATTAGCTAAGTGGAGGTGAAAAAGAAAAAGTTTTCTTTTGATAATGGAAGGAAAAACATCTTTGATGCTACAATGCATGTATGGTAGGAGCTACTAATAAGTTTTAACTATCTTTTACATCAACTACGTTCATAATTTTTATCCACGTGACTTTAAAGTCATCCCCATTAGACACAGAGTAGGAGTACTGGTGCCACAGTGGTTAAGTACGTGGCTGCTAATTGAATGATTGGCAGTTTGAACCACCTAGTGGTTCTGTGGGAGAAAGACCTTATGATTTGCTCCTGTATAGATAAAAGCCTAGAAAATCTGATGGGGCAGTTCTGTGCTGTCACGTGGTGTTGCTGTGAGTTGAAATCAACTTGAACTTGATGGCACCCAGCAACAACAGCCACATAGTGGTAGCCACTATGTCCTTGAAATGTGGCCAGTCCAAACTGAGATGTACTCCAAGTGTACAATACACATCAGATTTCAGATGTGGTATGAAAGAATGAATGTGTAATAGCTCATTAATATGTTTTATGTTGATTAAATGTTGAAATGATAATATTTTCAGTATCTTGGGCTAAATAAAATGTGTATTCTTTTGATTTTGGCTGTTTCTTATTTTTTAATGGCTGCTAGTAATTAATTGTAAAATCACATATGTGGCTCATGTTATTTCTCTGTTGGATAGTACTTGTCTGTATAGTAGTTAGGGGTGTTTTATATATATATTTTTTAATGGAAAAATGTCTATATTAAAATGGCCAATTAACCCAGGAGCATAAAATGTGACTGAAGTCTGGTATGTTTCTACTTCTCAGTATTCAGATGAGTTTGTTCAGTCGGCCTACCTGTCTCGTCGTCTTGCCTACTTTTGTGCCCGGCGTCTTTCCTTGCTGCTGAGTGATAGCCCCAATCTCCTTGCTGCTCACTCACCCCACATGATGATAGGACCAAACACCTCGAGCATTGGGGCACCCAGCCCGGGCCCCCCCGGCCCTGGCATGAGCCCCGTGCAGCTGGCCTTTTCAGATTTTCTTTCCTGTGCACAACATGGTCCCCTGGTTTATGGACTTAGTTGTATGTTGCAGGTAAGTTCTTGGCCCTTGTTATTTTATGTTAAAGTACAGTGTGAATAGTGGGGTTGTGAATAACATCTTCAGCTTTCATGTCACAAATATTTTTCTTCTCATTCAACTAATTGACAGATGAAGTTTAAGTTTTTATTTATTTATGTTGGATCAAGCTCAAGCTCTCTGGGTGGCACAAATGGATTGTGCTTGGCTACTAACTGAAAGGTTGGCGGTTCAAATCCACCCTGTGATGCTGTAGAAGACAGACCTGGGAATCTGCTTCCATAAGATCACAGCCATTGAAAACCCTACAAAGCACAGTTCTCTGATAGACATGCTGTTGCCATGAGTGGGAGTCAGCTTTTGGCAGCTTATTTGGGATCAAGCTCAGATTAAATTTGTTGCCTCCACCTGTTATGTTGTTAGGTGCCGTTGAATGTTTCAACTCACAGCAACCCCATGTGATAGAGAAGGACTGCCCCATGAGGCTTATAGTCTGTAATCTTTATGGGAGCAGATTGCCATGTCTGGGTGGATTCAAACTACTGACCTTTCAGTTAGCAACTGAGTGCTTGACCATTGTGCTACCAAGACTCCTTGCTGCCCCCCTCCAGAGGAGAGTTACTGTGGTTGTCATTCATTAGTACCATTAAGCAGTTCAGTGATCAAACTTTATTTGGGGAATCTACAGAATAAGTCAGCTATGTTAATAGTTCTGGAAAGACAACTTCTGTGAGCAGTATTCTTTTTCTTTTTCTTTTTTAATTAATTAATTATTTTTTGTGATTTGGGTGAAAGTTACAGAGCAAATTCATTTTCCACACAACAGCTCACATATACTTCGTTTGATGACATTGACTGAAATTTCCCACAATGCAACAGCTCCCCTCTCACTTCCTCCCCATAGTTACCTCTTTGCTGTGTCTTTCCCTCCCATGTACTCCTGGTCCTGAGCTGTCTCTCTGTGCATACACAGCCCTTCTATTCTATCATGATTATTCTCTCCAAGTAGTGTATCTACCTGATGTAAATGTTTAGCTCATATGCCTGTCTTTTGTCTGGAAGCCACAAGACTGGGTTCAGTTCCAGACCTGAAGGGCTGATAGGAGCCATAGTCTCAACGATTCATTCAAGCTCTATCAGACCAGCAAACCTGATCCCTTTTTTTTTTTTTTTTTTTTTAATGATACTGAGTTTTGTTCCACATTGTTCTCTCACTCTATCCAGGATCTCCTACATAGATCCCCCTCTAAGTGGTTGACAGTGGTAGCTGGGCACCATCTAGTTCTTCTGGTCTAATAGTTGTATAGGCTGAGGATTGCCTGGTGTACCAGTCACTTGGACTAATTGTTTCCATGCATCTTTGATTTTCTTCATTCTTCTTTGCTCTGGATGAGGAGAGACCTATCATTGCATCTAGATGGCTGCTTGCAACCTTTTAAGATCCCAGTTGTGACTCACCAAAGTAGGATGTGGAGCAATGTTTTGTGTATACGTTATGTCAATTGAGCTCGGTGTCCCCTGTGACTATAGTCCCAAGCCTACAGGTCCAACTACTCACTCCCTCTGGGTAGCTGGCTGTGGCCAAGAAATGACCACACCTTTGTCCCTTGTCAGCTCTACTATATACCTAGAATTCTTACAAAACATACACTTGTAGAAACATTGTCTGCCAACCCTATACATGGTGCTGTGTTCTGGTTATATAGTGCTGCTCTGACAAGAATATACCACAAATGGGACGGCATTAATAAATAGGAGTTTATTCTCTTACAGTTCCAGAGGCTAGAAGTCTGAGTTCAAAGTACCAGGCTCTAGGGGCTGTGTAAAAGCCCCTCGACATTGGGCTATAGCTCTGCCTCTTGCTCTCAGCCCACTGAAGCTAGAGGCATCTCTTCACTCAGGCAGCTACTGGCTGCTGAGGCTAACAAGCCCAGGGTTGACAAATAAAATGGCACAGTCCTGATGTTACCAAACCACACGGCAAGCCATTAACTCATGTCCATTGTAAGTCCCAAGGTCGGCAGAGCATGGCAGGCTGCTGAACAACAACACGGCTACATGCAGGATCCAAGCGTGCCATAAGCTAGAGACCATTCCCAAAGCTGCTGCTTATATACGGGAAGCAGACCACATACCCAAGGCAGCTACTCAGCTGGTTGTGGTGGATCCCACCATGGAGTGGCTTGCTAGTCTCATGATGGGGAATAACTAACTACCACCAGCTGCCCAGCCACTCAACCAGGCCCAGCCAAGTTGACACACAAACATAACCACCACAGTTAACAAACCACACAGCAGGCCATTAATTCAAGTCCATTGAAAGTATCAAGGTTGGCTGAGCATGGCAGGTTGCTGAATAATGATATGGCTACATGCAGGGTGCAAGCGTGACATAAGCTAGAGACCATTCCCAAAGATTTTTCTTATATACAAGAAACAGAACACATACCCAAAGAAGCTACTCAGCTGCGCCAATAGATTCCACCATGGAGTTAATTACCAATCTCACCATGGGGAATAACTACATTTAGTTGCCCAGCCATTCAGCCAGGCCCAGCGAAGTTGACACACAAACGTAAACACCAGATCCTGCATAGACATACCTGATAGTTCAGCCTGTTCACCCATCTGTCCACCCGTATACCCATGTTTGCCTTCACTGACAATGCAGTACTGCATGTGCAAAAGGGTTCATCTTTGTTGTCTGTACCTCCCATGTCCCTCTCTATGTCTTTCTCTTCCTCAATGCCACCATACTGATCATTCACATTTGTTACATTGCCCTTCTCTTCACCCAAATCAGTACTTATCTCTACCTATCTAACAGTGTTCCCTCCCCTCCCCTCCCACCCCTGGTAACCAACAAAGAAAATTTCCTTCCATAGATAAACCTTTCCTTGACTTTTATAATAATGGACC